TCTGTGATTCTATGACTTTGCACAGAGAGTACTGTGAAACCAGAATTGTGAGAGTTTAAGCTTTTTTGCAGCATTAAAACACGTTTTGGCACAGAAATTTATACTGCATGATCAAGACACATGAGGCTTCCCAAGCACTGTGCTACTAATTTAGGAATAACTGAGCATTACTCTGCGCAATTACAGTGGGGAAAAAAAGGCTGTTGCTCTAAGATTTCAGGCCCTTTGCTCCCAAATACATGTAACTTATTAAATCTTCTTTTTCCTTTTATTCTGTAAGGAAAGCTATGTTTCTTTTGGAGAGAAAGATCTCAAGCCTCATCAGTGAAGGGTAAACACGTACAGCTTTGTAGCAAGGCTCTTCTTTAATGCTGTATGAGCAAATACTTCAAGATGTGTCTGAAAAAGCTGAGCACTCCCAGCACACTCACTTGCCGAAATTAGAGGTATTCAGTCCAAATGTTGAATATCAATTTTAAAAATAAATTTTAAACAATCCAGCTATTTATGTGAGGACAAAGTTCAGATGCTAATCCTGGCCAAGAGCCCCCAAGGCTTTCAACTGGACGTTTTGCACCGAACAAAGAACTTGCAGATGACGACAAACAGACAATCTGCCCAATGGGCAGATACATGAGAGAATGCTGAATTTAGGTCAGTTATGTGGGGAAAAAGAAACTTAACTCAGGCTTTAGAGTATTTGTCAGTTTTTAGCTTTTTTTTGTTTTGTTTTTTTTTTTAAAGAGAGATTGCACAAGGATTTAAAAATAAACAAAATGGGAACTCCACTTCTGCAAATGAGAACATCACAAAAGTGAGCATGTTGCAATGTGGACTTGCTATGAGGAATGCAAAACGATGGCTGCTGGGAGACTTTCTGCTACAGGGAAAGAAGCTTGTCAAAGACCTTGCGACAGAGGGAAGAAGTGAAAGAGGAGAGCACAAGTTGAGACTTCACAAGATGTTTAGCAACAAGAAAAGCCAAGCCAAGCAGGGGGAAGTTCCTCCCTTCACTACAAATAAAAACCCTACACATTCCAGAACAGCTCTCAAATCTCATTCTCTGAATTGTCTGAACTGGTTGTCTATACTTCAAAAGCCAAAAAATTAGTGTTCTCAGCACAAGAGTACAGATACTTTCATGCTGTGTTCAAGGGCTCAAACACCACTTCACAGAAGACCCTGCTTATTATACTCGATAAAAGCAGTGAAGATTTCAATCAGCTCCTGATTACCTAGAGAAACAGGGGGTTCAGGAAGTAAGGATAAACATACGGATGCCTCCTCCCTGGAAGTGTTGAAGGCCAGGCTGGATGAGGCTTTGAGCAACCTGGTCTAGTGGAAGGTGTCCCTGCTGATGGCAGGGGGGTTGGAACTGGATGAGCTTTAAGGTGCCTTCCAACCCAAACCATTCTCTGATTCTATATATGTATGGGATGCTCTAAGAATAAAGAAAGTTGTTTTGGAGAAGAGGAGAGAGAAAAGAGATGCTATTAATGATGGAGCAGAGATTCCCAACAGGTCAGTCCACGCAGCCCAGTGCCATCCAGACATCCAAGATGCAGAAGCAGCACACACAAGAGAGAGTAAGCCAGCTTTGCTGTCAGGCCATACTGACTCAGCAGACTGTATATGATTCAGGCTGAAGAAACCACCACCTGCATGTTATTTTATACAGCTGTAGCCAGTGCCTCAAGTCTTTTTCTTTTTAAGGCTATTTCTCCAATAGCTTTTCAAGGAGTTTATCAGATATATGACAGCACATGTGGATGTTTACTCCCAAGTCCTACTGGCCATAAACTGGCTTATGCTGAGACTAGTAAGATGCATTAGCATCCATCATGCGGTTAAACTGCAGCCGAGGTCAATCCTGAAAAATCAAAACCTAGCTGACTCCAAGGATTTCAGTCTTCTGCTAAAGCCACAGGGAATGGTGTGGAATGCCAGGGACTGTTGTTTCTACTTGAGATTTCAATGCAGGTTTCAAGGAGCTCTTTATAGAGCACACCAAGGGACACGCTGCATAAATACCGCTTAGATTCACTGAAGAGATGCTGAAGGTTTTGAAGGGGAGAGCACCACTTCAATTAGCACCAGTCAAGCACCTTAACACATTTCCTGGCAATACAGTAACTGTGCAGCCTCCCTTTCAGATGGGGGCTGTGTTCACACCCATATCTTCCCTTCCAAATCCCCTCTGTGGCCTTACTTCTGCTGAGCAAACCCTGATCCGTGGCAAGTCCCCGTGCAGCCTCTACCAGCCTCAGACAGGGTGAGAGGAGCTACCACCTCAGCTGAGGGCAGGGAGCACAGCTCAGGGAGGAAGATGAAGTTCTGGCATCAGTCCTGCAAAGACATATGGAGTGCCCACCTGCATGACATCTTGGAGGCTTTCAGTGAAGGACAGCTCAGCCTCCACCATATAGAATTCCGCCAGGTGCCGGCGACTCTGAGAGTTTTCTGCTCGAAAGGTCGGGCCAAAGGTGAACACATGGGTGAAAGCCCTGCAAGGCAACAAGAAACAGGTAGGTCAGGCCCAGCACACAAGTGAGTCGGTTATACTGAAAGTCCCATTCACAAGCTCCCTTTTCTCCCAGGATCTAGAAGCACTCATGTTTCCATTTCACCTTCAATCAGTTTAATGGCACTGTTGGGTGTGCTGCTATCCCATTGCTTCAGCCAGGCTTTAAGAGGGCTTACTCACATCTCTCGGTGACTCAGCGAGGTTGCACAAACCCTAATCAGCTTTCACTGAACATCACTCATGCTCAGGACACTTTTTGTAGCTGTGTGGGAATAAAAAGTTACATTCTGCAGGACCAAATCACTGAAGAAGCACCCAAACATTGCACCACTCAGGCTCCCCTTGTCCACATCCCTTCACATTTTTTTGGCTGCAAGGTTCAACCTTTATGGGTGCTGAGACACCCCAGAGCCCAGCAAAGCAGAGAGAGTCCTGCTGCTGGAGTTGCTGGGCTGGTGACTGCACTGCAACGGGACTGGTGAGGATGGATGGATGGATGGATGGATCCCCCTCTACTCCGCTCTCGTAAGGCCCGACCTGCAGTACTGCGCCCAGTTCTGGAGCCCCCATCACAAGAGAGACCTGGAGCTGCTAGAACAAGTCCAGAGGAGGCCACCAGGATGATCCGAGGGCTAGAGCACCTCTCCTATGAGGACAGGCTGAGAGATTTGGGGCTGTTCAGCCTGGAAAAGAGAAGTCTCCAGGGAGATCTTATAGCGGCCTCCAGTACCTGAAGGGGCTACAAGAAAGCTGGGGAAGGACTTTTCATAAGGGCAGTTAATGACAAAACAAGGGGAAATGGGTTTAAACTGAAAGAGGGGAGGTTTAGATGAGATATTAGGAAGAAGTTCTTCACTGTGAGGGTGGTCAGACACTGGAACAGGTTGCCCAAGGAAGTTGTGGATGCCCCCTCCCTGGAAGTGTTGAAGGCCAGGCTGGATGAGGCTTTGAGCAACCTGGTCTAGTGGAAGGTGTCCCTGCTGATGGCAGGGGGGTTGGAACTGGATGATCTTTAAGGTCCTTTCAAACCCAAACCATTCTATGATTCTATAGATGGATGGATGGACAGCTTGCAGTCCCCCTCTAGTGGCAAACCCAAAGTTTATCACCAAAAGAGCCTTTGAGATGATGAAATGGGCTCCACACAACTAAAATGGTTCAGCTAAAAGAGGTCCCTACTGCAGAGAACACATCTGGGATATCATTTTATGCTGAAGCAACCAGTGCATTTCCTATTATGAAGCTATTTCTCCAGCAACCTTCTGGGTAGTCTATTTAAATACCACAAAATTGGTGAAGGGTTTAGAGGGGAAGGGTATGAGGAGAGGCTGAAGTCACTTGGTTTGTCCAGCCTGGAGGAGACTGAGAGGAGATCTCATCACGGTCTAGAACTTCCTGCCAAGGGGAAGAGGAGGGGCAGGCGCTGAGCTCTTCTCTCTGGCCACCAACGAATGCCAGGAGCAGAGGGAATGGCAGGAAAAAGTGGCAGGGAAGGGTGAGGTTGGCCATGAGGAAAAGGTTTTTGAGGCAGAGGGTGGTGGAGCACTGGAACAGGCTCCCCAGGGAGGTGCTCATGGCACCAAGGCTGACAATATGAACACTTGGGCTCCTGGACATCCTCAAACCTGCGAGGGGTTCCCAAACAGATGCTGTGATAGCTGTGTTTCCTCCCATGTTGTGTGGGAAGCAAATCATGATCAGGGAGAGAGCGAGCTGCTTCAGAAAAACCATGGACTGGGAAGCTCCTATCTCTGGTACATCTTTAACTTGACCTTATTTTTAGCTGCAGACAGTGCGTAGGAGAAAAAGAACCTGATCAGTAGAGATTAAGCACAGTTTAACACTCATGAAAGGACGCGTGCTAATTGCTGGGGTTGGCATTTGACTTGCATCCTGCTCTGCAAGCTTTCAACTTAAAGAGGATGTTCACTGAAGTTTCTGCAAAGGCTAATTTTGTTAAACTGAAGTTTAAATAAACACCACTAAGAAAAAAGCAGCGTTTTTCCTTTGCCCGTTATGGAGGCATCTGCACTTGCAAATAAAGGAACACACACATTCTGCTTCACCCATCTGTCCCCTCATGCCACACCACGGTTAAAGGTTACGATCCAAAGAAACAGCTCTTTCTTTTTCCTTGAGTTGCCAGCAGTAAACACACCAGAAGAAAGTTCCAGGTCAAGACTTTGAAGGTGTAGCCTGCTGTAGGTTTCTTTCCCCCACTGGCTCTGCTTTCCCTCCTCCAACAAACACACTTTCTGTCTCTACTTTGCTCCCACACCTGAACTCTCTCAAACATGACCACAGTAGATTCTGCAGCAAATATCTCTTGAGAAAAGGAGGTCGAGGGGTGATTTTGTTGCTCTCTACAACTACCTGAAAGAAGATTGTAGCGAGGTGGGTGTCAGTCTCTTCTCCCAAGTAACAAGTGATAGGACAAGAGGAAATGGCCTCAAGTTGTGCCAGGGGAGGTTTAGGTTGGATATGAGGAGAAATTTCTTCACCAAAAGGGTTGTCAAGCATTGGAACGGGCTGCCCAAGAAGGTGGTGGAGTCACCATTCCTGGTGGTATTTAAAAGTTGGGCAGATGTGGTGCTTAGGGACATGGTTTAGTGGGCATGATGGTGCTGGGGTGACGGTTGGACCTGATGATCTCAGAGGTCTTTTCCAACCTTAATGAATCTGTGATTCTATTCTATAGTCTTTCCTCAAGCATCATTTTCAACATGTCTCTTTTCCCTCTGCTGCCCTTCTCGCTTGCTGCAATATTACTGTAAACTTCTGCTGTCACTTGATCATCCTCCTTCAAACTGCCCTTTGCTACAGCATCTATAAAACCTCAGCAATGTTTAGATAAGTGATGCACCACAACTATTACTCACTGCACAGGTCAGTATTATCTCATCAGTTCCTTGTGCTCCCCCATCTGTAGCCATCTGTTGTCTTGGGTTATAGACAAATGTGTGTTCTTCCTCACGAGGTCTTTTTGTTTTTTTTTTTCCATGTTCTTACAGCACCTGGCACAACAAGGTCTTGGATCCAAAGCTTAAGAGTCTCAACTGCTATAGCAATATAAACAAATATGAAACAATGAGTCACTCGGCCAAAATCCTCTATCAGGAATAGTGTGGCCAGCAGGAGTAAGGCAGTGATTGCCCCCCTGTCCTGGGCACTGGTGAGGCCGCACCTCAAGTGCTGGGTTCAGTTTTGGGCCCCTCACTCCAAGAAGGACATGGAGGTGCTGGAGCGTGTCCAGAGAAGGGCAACGGAGCTGGGGAAGGGTCTGGAGCACAAGTGTGCTGAGTTCCCTTGTGGCTGAGGGAACTGGGGGTGTTGAGCCTGGAGAAAAGGAGGCTGAGGGGAGACCTTCTGGCTCTGTCCAAGTCCCTTGGAGGAGGGTGGAGAGAGGGGGGGGGGGGTCTGTTCAACCAAGGAACAAGGGACAGGACAAGAGGAAATGGCCTCAAGTGGCACCAAGGGCAGTTGAGATGGGATGTGAGGAAGAATTTCTTTGCTGAAAGGGTTCTGAGGCATTGGAAGGGGTTGCCCAGGGCAGTGGTGGAGTCCCCATCCCTGGAGGGATTGAAGAGTCGTGTAGACACAGTGCTGAGGGACATGGGTTAGTCAGGGACTTGTCAGTGTTGGGTTCATGATTGGACTCGATGATCTGAAAGGTCTTTCCAATCGAGGCAATTCAGGGATTCTGTGAAAATTCTTCATTGTTTAAGGCAGAATTGCTCAAAAACTTTTGCTTGCCTGGCCATGGAGGTTGGCCTGCAGTGGGGAACAGGAGACACAGGTTCTTGTCCTACCTGAGACCATGTTTCAAGCTTTTGCCACCCGTGTCCAGGTTTCAGGCTTTTGCTAAAGTATTTCAATTTGGGGCTTTTCAGTTAAACAAATAATTTTCCCTAAATAAACCAACTGAGTCACAAGTTCAGACTGTGACTGGGCCAGGACTGGACAGAAGACAAAAATACTTTGAAAAGCTTGCAATTGCTGAATGACCCACCCAGGACTGCTGGGTTTGATGTCTGTAATTTCTCCCTGGCATGAAGTCTTCAAACAGTTAACACTTAAAACCAAAGCATGATACCAGCTGGCCAGCAGGAGATCCTGTCCCAAGGGTGACAGTCTGGCTTCACTGAGACCCACATTTCTCAGCTGCTGTTCAGGCACTGACCCTTCACTTAGTGCAGGTAACTGTGGCAGATGACAGTCTCCAGCAACACAAGACCACCATGAGCACTTTCAACTCTACTTATTTCCTACTGAATAGCAGCCCAAGCAGGATGACTAGATACTGATCTTCCAAGGGGCTTGCTGGCTGCAAGATATCTAAAAATAATTTAAAACATTTAAAAATCCTTTTTGTTCCCAGATGCCAACTTTGTTCAAACATTTCATGGTCACAGATTGATTTTGGGCTGCAAGAGGAAAGCCTCTCTGTGTCTGAGATGGAGCTTTTGGGGAGGACAAGTGCAGAGCAACTCCCACAGGAACTGAATTCAGCCTTTTCTCAGCTCTGGGCATCCTGTCAGGACTAATCTCTAACTTGCACACTGAGCACCACCTACGTTTACAGCACTGCAACTTCATGGACCATCCCAAGGTGCTCAACAACAGCAGGAGTAAGGGCTTTGTGATAGCCTGTAGAGAACCCAACATCACTAGTGAAGGGCTGAATTTGCCTGTCTGCCTCTTGGAAGAAGGAAAACAAAAACAAAAACCAAACCCAAAAACCAACCCTAAAACCCCAAATAAACCCATATCTACAGGGAGGGGAGGAATCATTCATTTCTGAGGCTAATTATAAAGAGAAAAAAGATACGATACAAATAACTGTGAGAACTTCACCACGATCTTGGGACCCTGGCAAAGAGAAACCAGCCAGATGTCATGCTGGCAAAGCGATCAAAGGAGTAAGTCATCTGGTAAAGGCAATGCAGCCCTGACCAGAAGCCTGGACATAACAGAGAAACA